GGTATTTCTCAGAGAGATCGAAATACATATTTTAAAGGGGCATTTTGTTGGCTGAAGATTTTGATAATATTATTAAAAGCCAAGTAAGTTGAACGTTTCGATCGAAATGAAACAAAGCGTCATGTTTCGAAGTAGCAGAAGCAGTGTTTCGAATAAGCATATCAAAGCTTGGAGCTTCGAGTGGCAATTATGGGAACATATCTAAAGAAGTCTCGAAATGACAACAAGGCTGTGTCTGAGAAGTGCGTTCGAAGCGGAGAAATACCAAAACATTTGAAATTCAAATGGAAGCGGGACATTCGAAGTTTGAAATTTATGTGCTGGAGCATTTGGAGACACGTGGAAACAAGAGAGAGGCATTGTTCTGCATGTTCTGAACGTGGCATGATCTTATAGCAAGACCGTTATGGTCGAAGTAGTATAAATAGAAGTCTTAGTATTAGGATTTCGTGTGTCATATCTATTGTACTAAATACTCAGTAACATTCAAATTACCACATGGCAAGGGAAACGAATGCAAGAGCAATGTACGTATGATAGCACCACATGTTTATGATTTAATGAAAACCTTTTATCATTTCCAGCACTTTCCTTTATCTTTCTGCCAAATACCATTTACAAGTTTTCTCATTTAAAGTCTTTTTATTTCGAAATCTTTTCATTGAAGCCTTACATTTTAATGATTTCTTTACATTTCAAACACTTTACATTTCAGAAAACTGTCATACTTTTCATACCTTTATCTTCAAGTTTTGTCTTTCGAAAGCCTATTTTTACTTAAAGTCATTTACAGATTTCTTGCATTAAACGCTTTCTTCATATTTCGAATCTTTTACGTTCCAGAGCATCTTTTACATCAACTGTTTTTATAATTCGAAGCCATTTACATGCTTTTATGTAATTTTACATGTCTTTACAATTAACATTTATTCATGCAAGTTAGTTTCGCGTACATATATTTTGATTACACCTTTAGATCTTTAAGAGAGAAATCGAAATAAGTCAAACACCTACACAACGCTCAAATACCAACCATGAATATCTGTTCGATCATGAGAGTTACCCTAATGACCAAGGAATCCTAGGATCAATCTAGTCGATCCTGTGAGTTACTAGAGAAATTGAATAACAGTCAGTAAGTTTATTCGATAGTTTGGAAGACTAGCGGTTGTTTACCAGAAATCACTGGAAACACACGGCCAGATGTTGAGTAAGATGTCATGACATTTTGACGAACTGATATATAAGGTGTTGTTTCTCTTCTTGGAAGGATTTGATTTGATTCTGTGAGATTCTCTATGGATATATCTCACATATTTGCGCAGGTCCTGGAGGATATTTTTGGAACAAGTGATTTTATCTTCAACTGTGCATTAGTTTATAAAATTGGATGACGAGATAATTTAGGAAACTTGTGATGTTTTTGATCCATAATTAAAGAAGATTATTCTGCATAATTTATGCAGCCATCAGTTTGTGGATCTACAACAAATTGAGTGGAGAATCCGAAGCCCATGGACAGCTGAGGATTTTAAAAGGAATAATAAACTAAACCCAATGTAACAATTGGAAAATAAGGGGAAGCTTTGTTATTCAAGAGTATTAGGGTTTTGAGAGTTTTCTATTATGTTTTGTTTTTGTATATCACTCATGTATCTTGTTTGATGCATTGAGTTTGACTGATTGTTCATTGTTCATTGTGATTCACTCACGAGCTTTGAAGCAAAGAGTGTAATCTATTTAATTGGAAGTGTGTTATTTTGTTTTGGTCATTATTATTATCACTAAGGTGATTGTGGAAATTGAGAGGGGGTTCTCATATCTAGGAGGTTCTTAGGTAAAAATTGCATAGGTAGTGATTAGATGATAAGTTTTAAACTAAAGTTGTTTAAGCTTTGAACTAATATTATTATAGTGGATTTCCTTTCTGGCTTGGATGCCCCTAGAGTAGGTGATGTTGCACTGAATTGAGTTAACATTTTGTTGTGTTATTTATCTTCTACAATTTACCTTCCGCGTGATTTACTATTTTGTAAATTGCTCTGTCAATAGATGATGACTTAATATATGTCTTGGCATTGTATTCTGGTGTTGTGACATCGGTTTTAACATTTATCTAGTGTACCATAATTTCAATATTCCTATATATTATTTCTCTTTCTACAAGGATAAAAAAGCAGTGATACAAGAGATCATGAAATTGAAACGTTTATTCTTGTGGGAAGATGATGAAGATAGAAATAAGATCAATTTGATAAGTGAAAGGGGGTTCTCATATCTAGGAGATTCTTAGGTAGAAATTGCATGGGTAGTGATTAGGTGATAAGTTGTAAACTAGGGTTATTTAAGAATTAAACTAATACTATTATAGTGGATTTCCTTCCTCGCTTAGATGCCTCCAGAGTAGGTGATTTTGCACTGAAATGGATTAACATTTGACTATGCTATTTATCTTCTGCAATTTACCTTTTGCATGATTTATTATTTTGTAAATTGCTCTGTCAGTAGATGATGTCTTAAGATCCGTCTAGACATTGTGTTCTGGTGTTGTGACATCAGTTTTAATATTTATCTAGTGTACCAGAACTTCACTATTCCTATATATTATTCTCTTTCTACAAGGATAAAAAATCAACGATACAAGAGATCATGAAATTGCAACTCAAACATGCTCCAAGAGCTAGAAATAAGAAGATATATGGTTTTTTGAGGGAGAAGGGGTTTATAAAGTACACAACTGAGCATGTAGTATATGTTAGAAGAAGCATAAGTGAATTGCTTATACTATGTCTCTATGTCAATGACCTATTAATAATAGGCAACTGCAAAAAGAAGATCGAAGATTTCAAAGGTGACTTGAGCAAGGAGTTCAAAATGTATGACTTGGGCAATATCTCATATTTTCTTGGTATCGAAGTCTAAGAGAGTAGTAGAGGATTGATGACACATCAAAGGAGATATACAAGTGAGATACTCAAAAGATTTGAGATGGAGGATTGCAATGCAACTTCGACATCAACTGAACCAAGACTGTAATTGATGAAGGATTCAGATGAAGATGAAGTTGATCTAACACATTACAAAAGACTCATTGAATCATTAAGATATCTTTGTCACACAAGGTCTGATCTAGCATATAGTGTAGGTATGGTGAGTATATTATTGTAAAAGCCAAAGGTATCTCATCTCATAGCCACTAAGAGGATACTAAGATATCTTAAAGGAACTCTCGACTATGAAATTTTGTTTTCTGCAGTAGATGAAGGAAAGAATTGCAAAGTAGTGGAATACACCAACTCAAGTTGGTGTGGTGATGCTGAGGATAGAAATTTCATAGTTAATTATGTGTTTATACTAGGTGGTGCACCAACAAGAAAGGAACCAGTAGTAGCATTGTCGTCATGTGAAGTTGAGTACATAGTTGTCTCTCTTTTTGCATGTCAAGCAATATGGATGATGAATTTGATCAAGGAGATTGCAGGTGAAAATCATGGAGTAATAATCATGATGATCAATAACAGGTCTGTTGTCAATCTAGCCAAGAATCTGATAACACATGAAAGAAGCAAACATATCAAGATGAAATTCCATTGTCTTAGGGAGAAAGTATCAAATAGAAAGGTGAACTTGGAACACTACAAAACTGAGAATCAGATTGCAAACATCATGACAAAGACTGTGCAGGTGGAATTGCTCAAGATATTGTGAACTATGATGAATCTAGACAGCTTAGACACAATGAATTGGATGAGGTGTTAAATATATAATTCTTTATGTTATACACAATTGTAATTTCGACAAAGTCGAACTTGTGTATAGTTGATATAGTCAAACTTAGTTCGTAGCAATAAAATCTACATGTATTCGACAGAAGGTTGAACATAACTTGTAGTAGACAAGTTGTGTGTATTGGATAGAGAGTCGAATACAATTAGTCATAGTCGAAATAGCAAACATTCGACAGAGTTGAATAACAACTTGTTGAAGTTAGTTAATCAGTTTAAGATTGTGAGAAATAAAATCAACTCACTATATATAGGGAGGTACCCTACATTTGTAAATACAACAACACGATTCATCTAATTCAATATTTTCTTCTCCCCTTTCTCCAAAACCCTAAATTTCCTCCTACTCTTTTCTCTAAAATTATCTCCTCTCTTCAAATCTTTATGGTTAAATCAATTGAATGATGAGTGAAAAACAAAAATTCAAGAAAATAATTGAATCTTATTTTTTCAAGATCGGTTAACATGTTTCTTGATCAATTTGGATCGGAAGGAATGAAACTATATTTTAAAGGAGTGTTAAGGCTTAAGGGCGTTGAAGCTATGTTGGAGCATATCAAAGTTAATATCTCTTTGAATATAGTGTGTAACCAGCAACTAACACACCCATGTTCAAAATTCAAATCATGTAACCCTTAACCTAAAAATTGGGATTCCAACCTTTCTTTTATGGGTTTAATAGCATAAAATTGAAAGAGATTTGTTGAATTTTAGCATTTTTTTTTATTATCGTTTCCTCATAATTCATAACACTATGTTTGATTTAATTTAAAAAAAATATTTCAAGATATACTTTATTCTCGGAAATTTAATTCACATATGAGTTTTTTATTTTTGTTTTAAGATTTAAAAGATGAAAATCTAACATTTCTATAAAAATAATTTTAACTAATTACAATTTTCCACTACAACTCACATTTATTTATTTATTTTATTTTTTATAATTCTTATTTCAAAAAAGAATAATAATGATGGAAAAAGGATTTTGAAAGAATAAAATTTCTTAACTCAAAAGAAACACACCGTAGGGATTTGCTCAAACCAACTAAGAATATAAAATCCATTGATTCACTGTACAGTTAGTTACAATTAATTTACAATAACGCCAAAACCATCGTGACTGAGTCAACTCGTCATCATCTGATCCGACTCGGTCGATTCAAATCAATTCTCCGGCGACTATGAACGATTTCCACTGAGTTTGAGGCCACTGCTTTAGCCTTGCCCCCAGCAGTTCATGTACATCACTTTCCGGAGAGAATCATCGGTTTGTCTCAGCCTCTCTTCCGCCCCAGAACTCACACGTACGTCCGATTCAACGACGCTGGCTAACGGCCGGAGATTGAACAAACTACCGGCGGAGAAGAGACGTGTGCGGTTTTGGTGAATAGATTCGAGAGCCTTTTTGCACTTGTGGCCCGGATCAGTGTGGCCTTGTGCCACCGCCACGGTTGTTGCCATCCAAACACGGTTCAAGTAACTCATTTTTGTTTTCTTCTCTCTTTTTCAGACTTTCTTTTTTGTAGATTCAAAAGGTGTAAGAAACTTGTAAGAAGATAAGAGGAAGAGGCTATTTATAGAAGAAATGAGAACCATTTATGTCATTGTTTTTGTCAATAATTCAATAATAGTGCTTTCTTAATGGTAGGTGGGTTCCATTCCAACTCAAAAAATAATTTCTTTTGAATAATAGTGGTGTTAAAATATAGTAGTTATCTAACTAACACTTTTTTTAAAGAGAAAATTGGTGATATAACTATCGTATAAAGAAATTTTATCTTATAAAGAAATTTTATCTCTTATCTAATAAACGACATGTATTTCGTTGTATTATGTTAATTACTTAAAATAGATTTAATTATTTAATATATTAATAATTTCCAATTGAACAATTATATAAAATTTATTTGCATCGATGTATTGTCTATTAAACTCTTTTTTAAATTAAAATTAGTCACTACATCTTAACTAATAACATTATTTTTCTTTTTCATATTATAAATAATTTTTTTTTTAAATCTATTGAATAAATGTATCAGATTTATATATAGTTTAGATATATTAATTGTTCAATAAATTTAAAAAAATAAAATTGATCTATAATATAAGATAGAAAAGTATATTACAGTAGATTTTTTTAAATTAATAATGTTAAGATATGAGAAATTTATTAATTTAGAGAGTTATTAATTTATCGATAAATTAATAATTATTAATTTAAAGAGTTTTTAAGTAATTATACTGTATATATCAAACAAAAAGACAAATTAGTCTATGCCTCTTAGAATTATGTTGCAGCGAACTTTGAGACTCAATCTAAATTAGTAACTACTGTGTTCATATGCATTGAAAATCAATAATGACTTTTGAAGTACAGTAAATGTAAACAAGAGGAACAAATGTGTTCAATGTATTCTTAAGCAAGTTTGGCATATATAAATTACATAAATGTATTAAGTATTCAAACCATATCTCACAAGATGTTTTCTCATCTAAAAAGTGTTACAAAATCAACTATGTAAGATCAAATACGTAAGGAGTTATGTGAGTACAAGAGATAATCATGTAAGCACACAAAAAGACCTGCAGAGATGACTTAAGCGAAAATTTCAGTTGAAAGTTAGTCAAGGAACAATATCAAACACAATTAAGCGGTCAGGTGATTATCTCTCTGCTGAAATAGAAAAAGGAGAAGCAGAGATCAAAAGACACAAATCAGTAAAATATCCTGACATGGAGAAGGTTGTTTATGAGTGGTTTCTCCAACATCAAGAACGTATGAATATCACAGGAGAATTAATTTTATAGAAGGCAAGAGATACAATGAAACTCGTGTACCCTCGTAATGATTCAGATTTTAACTTCTCTATAGGATGACTTGGGAAATTCAAGCACCGACATGGCATAAAGTCATTTCGTCATTTTGGCGAGAGTGGGTTTGTTGATGTACAAGACATGGAGCATAAATTGGTATCATTTCGGGAGAAAATTGATTTGTTCCCTATGAAAGATGTTTTCAATATGGATGAAACTGGATTGTTTTATAGGCTACAAGCTGATCATTCATTGGCAACAAAACAACTTGGAGGAAGAAAACAAGATAAAGAAAGGCTGATGGTAGTTATTTGTTGCAATGAAGATGGCTCTGAAAAAATCCGTCTATGGATTACTGGGAAATATGCAAAGCCTCGTTGCTGCAAGAATGTCAACATGAATAACTTGGATTGTCAGTATCGAGCTAACAAAGAAGCATTGGTGACTAGTGTGTTTTTTTATGAATATGTTAGTTCATTTGATCAAATGATGCATGGTAGAAGAGTTCTACTTGTAGTGGATAATTGTCCAGCACATCCAAGAAATATTGAAGGGCTAAGAAACGTTGAATTGTTCTTCTTTCCACCCAACATGACATCAAAGATTCAACCTTGCGATGTTGGGATAATAAGAGCTTTCAAGATACATTACCGTAGAAGATTTTATCGCAAAATATTGGAAGGTTATGAGGTGGGACAATCTGATCCAGGGAAGATAAATGTCCTTGATGCTATCAATTTGGCAATCCCAGCTTGGACGATAGATGTTCGAAAAGAAACAATAACGAATTACTTCTGACACTGTAACATTCGATCAGCTAGTGACGTTGCAAGAAATTTGGATGAATCCACTTTTGATGAAGAACCTCAAGACCTCAAGACCTCAAGACTATGATCAATCAATGTGGCTATCGTATTAAGATGGATATCGACAATCTAATGAACTACCCAGGTGAAAATGAAACATGTTCGGAGGTTCAGAGTTTAGAAGATATTGTGGATACTATCATTGAGAATAATACATAGGATGACGACGAAGATGATACGGTATCTTTAGAGCCTATTACGCGAAAGGAAGCACTTATGGCGTCGAACACTCTTCACAACTTTATGATACAATACAAAAATACAACACCTGAGCTATTGAATGCAATAAGAAAAGTTAGAGAGGAGCTCTAAATAGACTTGAACTTTAAAGGAAAACAAACAACTATTGAATCATATTTCAATAGTGTAATATTTTTTTCCAATTTCTATGAATTATTAATTTATGATTTTGTTGGGATAAAAAATTATAAAAAGATCTCCCAAAAAATTATTATCTTATTATTTTATCAAATTTTTCAATTTTTTACATTGATCCAAGTCGAGATCAGACAAATTTATTATTTTAGAAAACTTATTAATTTACCGAGTATTAATACATTTGTTTTTAAATATAAGATTATGTTGAATAAATTGCGAGAATTAAAAAATGTTAGAGTAATAAACTTATTGATTATTTTATATAATTTTATAAATTTATTTTTAGGAAAAAAAATAGTTTATATATATATATATATATATATATATATATATATATATATATATATATATATATATATATATATATATATATATATATATATATATATATATATATATATATATATATATATATATATATATATATATATATATATATATATATATATATATATATATAACTGTATTTATTATATATTGTAGAAAAATAATAATATAATGTAATTAGAAACATGTTCGAAAAAAGAAATTAATAAATATATTTTAAAAGTTGAAGAAAATATTATAAAAAAAATACAAAAAAATTTATAATTAAGACGAAAAGAGTGAAAATTTTTTTACAATAATCAAGTATTAAAATAATATTTCGCAAATAATCGCGTTTCAGAAAAAATTACGCAAATAACCATGTTTCAGATGACTCCCCAAAGGAGGAGCCATCTCACTTGGCGCCTCCACCCCTAGTTTTGTCCTAGGCGCCATCTCACTTGGCGCCTCCTCTCACTTTTAGCCAAGTGAGATGGCGCATGCACCTTAAAAGTGAGAGGAGACGCCATCTCACTTGGCTCCTAGGGCAAAATGCTGTTTTATAAATAATTCGTCCGTTTCTCCGAAATTTCGCACACTTTCTCGCACTGTTTTTTTATTTTTTACTCTGTTATTTGCGTCATGACGTCGCCCATGATTTTTAGTAGAGATGGTTACGTTATCTTCTCCGCCACGAAACCTGCGATGAAAATGAAATTCTGGCACATTCACTCCATGGAGCGTCTGAAGCGGGAGTTGATGCGATGACTAGATGGAGACATTGCGGAGGGGGGAAAAATTCGAAGGATCCAGCGAAAACGAACAACAATCTCACATGCGACAGGAAGACCTAATGTATGGTTGGAGGAAGTCAAAACAAACAGCGATGTAATGTTGATGATGCATGGGTCAGATGAAATTGTGTTAACAGTTGTAATTTCGTAGATAGAATATCGTTAATTTTTCTTGTACGCGCAATATTTATTGTAGCAAAATTTGTTAACGGAAAACCCTAATGTTTACAACATAATTAAGGAAATATTTTATGTATTACAATTTTTATGTGATCGAGGCAGACGCCCGATTCAGACAATTTTTGCGATTGTGCCCGACCTGACGGCATAAACCACACTTTCTTTCCAGCTAGTCAAGATCGTCCATTTCTATTGTGATGCGCTTACTTTTGGGACGACTCTTCTTGTTCCTTCGCATTTGGACATTGTGCCACACTATTTCACCGTCGTATGCAGGGCAATAATCTGGTTTTGCTACCAAAGGAAAGTTGTTGTTGTAAACGTTGAGCAACGTTTCAGATTTGTAAATGTGTGACAGAAGTTGCAGCGCGTCTTGATGGGTATGAGCACAAGCGGCAATGACATGAGATCCGGAACGCATTGACTTCGCTGGGCCATCGACTCTGCCACAGCAGGAAACGCGACGATACTCAGCACGAGAAAGGCGAGGACGGGGATGCGGAACCGGAGGTCATTACCGGATTCCGGGGGATCACTGATTTATCTATTTTTTTTTTCTGTTTTTTTTATCTGTTTTTTTATCTGTTTTTTTATCTGTTTTTTTTATCTATTTTTTAATGTAATACATTTGTATGTAATTTTTTTTATAATAAAAATTCAATTTTGTTGATCCTGTATCCAATACGCAACACACCGGACTAAAAAAAAAAGAAGTAAAATTTGCTCTAGAATTACACATAGGCGCCATCTCACTTGGCTTAGGGCATGCCCTAAGCACATAGGTGTCAAGTGAGATGGCGCCTCCTCTTAAATAATAGGTGTAGGCGCCAAGTGAGATGGCTCATCTTTTGGGGAGTCATCTGAAACATGATTATTTGCGTAATTTTTTTCGAAACGCGGTTATTTACGATTTTTTTTTAATACTTGGTTATTCAAAAAAAATAATCCGAAAAGAGTATTAGAGATTTGTTGTATCTTCTTAAAATGTTTTTAAATGTTAAAGTAATAATACATCACATATTTATATTATGATGATGATTATGATATTCTATTCATTTTATAATGATGATTTAGTCCATTATTTTATATATATAAAAAAATTATAGAAAAATAAAGAGAGAAAATAATATTTATTATAATATCTCTA